TGTTTTTTTAATTTTGGACGATTATTCCCGATTTTCAATGATTAGCCCCTCCCAATTGGGCGACGGCTTTTACGGCTAACGATTGATTCCTTTACGATTGTTGATAAAATCAATATTATTACAGTTAACTTTGCTATGACTTACGGTTAAAATCTTCGCCTAACGGCTAATTTTTCGCCGAACTCCATTCCAAAATGCCGACCGTCATTGCTGGTCAGCGTCTTTACAATAAAAACAAAATGGCCGTCCTAGTTGCAGGTGCGCGCGAAAAGTGTGTTTACCTGGAAACTAACTATTAATTGGAGGCAAAAATGTAATTTAGTCGTTGGTGCCCCTAGCTCTTCGTTAATTTGCTAACCACGTAGTTAGTGAATGTTGGAGAAAATAATTTGTAAATTTGATTAAGAATGGTGAAAAAAATCGACCAGGCAGATCGGAACGTGCAAACTTCAGTTGCAAAATCAAATTTACGAGCACTATGACAAGTAGCTTGAGCCTTTATGAGTGTCTTCAACAAGTCTCTTTACAGAAGTATCATGGTAAATTTTTACAGCGTGGTATTGTTGATGTTGGTGGGATGCTTTCCCTTACAATGCAAGATTATCCATCTTTGGGTATTTCGTCCATGGCGGACCGTCAGAATCTGTTTTACTTGATACAATCAATAAAGACATTGCAACCACAACCTCAACCGCAACCAAATGAGAGACAACTGCGCAGTAGAGGGAGAAAAGATGGCTTGCTACCGCTTGATGGAGCTGCAATGAAGGAAAAAGGTATTTGAAGTATTAGGGGACAAATTATCCTTGTAGCTTGGCCATGCTGGGAGAAAATCAAAATACCTAATGCATGTTTTAAAGAGACTTGGAGGGGGAGGGGGGGGGATACTTCCTAGCAATAAGCTAACAGGGATGTGCCGTGGAATGGAGTTCCATTTTCACGACTGGATTGAGTACAATGGGGTTTTATTTTTAATACAGTTATTAGAATGCCATCACACATTTTCAGGACTTTCAGGGTATATGGTGAATAGTAAATTGTTCTTAACATTTCTTTTAGGATTATATAGTTAAAAGGCTTTTAAGGTATATGAATAAAATGAAAGTGACTCAGTTAGTCTTACAAAAATGACACTGGCTAAGATGAGGTCTATATTTGGCCACAGAATGGACTTTAATGGGGTAGAGGTTCAGAGAGGCCAGCGGCACATACATGGCAAATATTGACCCAAGTACCTCCTCTCCCCTAGGCCAGACTTGGACCCATGTAGAATTAACTCGTGGCAAAGATTTAGACTGTTTTCCTCACAGCACTCTTAAGTTCAGTTCTTTAGAATAGAAGTTTAATTCTTTCTGAAAGATTCATATCTCTTCATAGAAGAATTTATCAGTTCCTGTCTTCATTCCTAGAGGAGAATTATAATTCTGAGGAGAGGAAACCTGGTTCTAAGAAAAGAACTTTGGGTCTTCCCCCAAGGTTAAGAACTCTTATGAGAAGAAATTCATGTGTCTGATTCCTGTCAGAAGAATACTAATTTTTACCCACAGAGACAAAATTCTCTTGACAAGAATCAGTCATTTAGGTATTCTGAGAAGAAACACAGTTGTTAAACTTTTGATACCCCCTGCATTTCATTGGGTCACCTCAACAGTCTATTGAGTCTAGCAGTATAACTAGCA